GATCTGCCGGAGACTACCGCAGTATCACGGCGGTACAGCCAGCAGTGTGTGTGAGAAACGGCTTTTGCTTGCGCTGGTCTGTGAGAGGGTATGTATGGTAGCTCGTGCGCTGGGGAACAGTGAATGCCACATCAATCAAACGATCTGAGAGCAAATGCTCCCTCTTGCGGCCGCTATGTTCTCCGTGTGAGGTGCTTGGGTGAAGTTCCCTCTCGAGAGGGCTGCCGGCAAGGGGCAGAGGGGAGAGAGCAAGAGAGAGCTCTGGCAGGGGGCACGCAGAGAGAGGCAGGATGGGAAACGCCTTTTCTCATTTCTTGGATATTGGCAGGGACAGTGCCTCGTCGCCTCGTCTCATGAGGAGGTGCGAGGTGCATGCGCCACCGTGCCAATTCAAAGGCCCTACTGTTATGGAAATATTGGCCTATGTCCTGTAATACAGTATATTGTAGTCAATGTTCAAGTAGCATTGCTCTCTACAAGCTGGTCTGACCAAGAAGCTAACTTTCGTTCTTTCATGTCCCACTCTCTGCTGTTTCAACGAATTTAGACTTCAAATTTGGCGGGTGCTCGTATAAGACATAAGACCATAGGGGATGCGCAGGTGCCGGAAATTTTCGGATCTGAGTTGATTTTAGGTATATAACTATCAATTGGCGGCATAGTTGGGATACTTCCTGTACTGAAATCAGCATAAAAAAAAGTTTCTCAGATCAAGCTGAAAATTGCTGTGCATGTACCTGGGAACATCGCGAGAGCAAAGATGGTAGTTTCAAGGCTCCCGGCATCTTCCATCAGAAGTTATGGCCTATTAAAGAATCCGATACAACACACGAGATACCTGAGGCAACGTAAGGATCTCGCGATTCCCACGCTGTTTTTTCGAATTAGAAGCTGAAATTTCGACACGGCATCCCCATGAGTACAACAAACAAATAAGCCACTGCGCCATTTGACTTTTTCTTTTTTTATGCGACTTTTTGGCATAGCAAATATTCCCATGAATACTAATATCAGCCTAACTTACGAAATAAAAAAAAATCCAAATAGCGCAGTGGCGTTTGTGTTTATAGTACTCATGTAGATGCCGTGTCCAAATTTCAGGTTCTAACTCCAAAAAACCGCGTGGGAAATCCGCTCCAACCTTCAAATTTGCGTCTTGGTTGTATCGTAGATTGCAAATCGTAGACCATGCATCGTAGATACCTGTTCATACGTAACGCATCATCTGTATGCGGAGGAATTACTGCTGTAACATTCTCTGCTCGAGGGATCGCGTGTCTCTCACTCTCGCATGAATCTCTCGCATGGGCTTCTCTGGATAGTCATGGCCCTTATCTTTCCTGGTCATCTCTAGGAACTGCCTTCATCTGGACTTCTGCGTTCTCTGTGGATCTATCTGAGTGTCTTGGCCAACTAAGCGCCAGTGTTCAACATATCTTCACGTCTCTACTGTACACAGCACAAGAAGTACTCCTACTTCTGGTCTTCGACCACTCGCGGTGCCAACCATCTCGAGTAACACCGAAAGGCACAGCCTTGCCCACTTGTCAAGGGTGTCTCAGACCATATCCACAACTACATGTAGTTGGAACGGAACTCACGCTTCGGTGATGCACTGGTCTCGGGCCCGGTGTGAATGTAGGTTTTGTAAGGATGGGGCCATGCGATCGAAGTGAACGGCGAGGGAACAACATCAGGTCGAGATCATTTACCGGAGGGGCAAACGGGGCGGGAGCACGCCCACTATATGGTCGTAACTCCACGCACAGCAGTAGGCTATTCTACAAGGAGAACTGTAACCTCTCCAACCCCAGAGTATCTCCGTCGCCGTGTTCTTCTGACCAACAATGGTCCCCTACCTCCATGCATACAAGCCGACCAGACAAGAGGCGAAATACATCGTCATGCTACACGCGCACTTATACGCCGGCACGTGAAATAAAGTGTTGGTCAAGACTGACCGGACGAGTGCGATGCTGCTCTTGCCGCCGTCTGTAGACTCCCTGCTGCCATTCGCGCGACCCCCCCCAAAAGGGCAAGGACGGCATATTATCTACTGTTTGGTTAACCTTGTGAAACGTAGCCTGGACCGGCGAAAACCTGAGCAGCAACACAGTCGCGGGCCCCGGCAATGTAGACTATAGGGCATGCGCGAATAGAGCCGGGCAGGTTGAATTAATTCTCAATGTACGGTCGTACCAAGTAGAGTTTGTGTACCAGGTGAATACGGATGAGTGAGGCTTCCGTGCTGTTGCCATGCAGGGTGACCACAGGAGTGAGGCTGTTAAGATGTACAGCATATCCACTATGCTACAAGTCAGCGCTGACTTGCAGCATAGTGGATATGCTGTCCACCTTAACAAAAGGACAACCGGGGTCCTTCAACTTGTTACAGCTGTTGGACTTCGGAATCAACCCCAGGGTTGTAGTCCCCGTGATGAACGCTGCCCCATGCGGTTCGTCGACTTACAGGCGGAAATATGTGTCTTTACTTCGACGACTGGAATGTATACCGTCTTTCAGGCGTATCCCGGACTTTTTTCCCGGAAAAAAGGCGTCTCAAATGGTCCACATGGGATTCGAACCCCGGTTGTACTTGTAGCATGATAGTGGATATGCTGTACATCTTAACAGAGGCTTCTGTGTTTACCATGCAGGCAGACCAGAGAAGGCAGTCGAAGGTTCTCCCAACACTTCGCCACCAACGCCTGTTCGGGGTGGTGTTATTCTGAAGATATCGGAGCCACGGTTGCTCACATCGGATATGCTTGTGTGTTCTCGATTGCGAATGAGGGGGTTTATTGGCCCGCTGCATGAAATCACTCAGGGATTTTGTGGGTTGTCAAGCATTTTTTTGGACGAAGAAAAATGAGAAAATACCGGCACGGATGTATCCGTTGTTGCCAACACGAACCCTAGACTACGGATATATATGTGGTGCGATTCGGTGTCGTCGACATTTTGTGTGTTCCCAGGAGATACCGTAAGCATATCTGTTTGGTTCCCACCACCCCCCCTCCAACGTGCCCTGTTCCCTTTTCCCCCCACCAATTGTCATCGACCATTAATCAAGCCCGTCGTCGACAAGTGCCAGAGAGGCTATATTCGGACCCGTCGGCCGCAAGCGCAAACGCAAAGCTGCAGATTCCGATACGTTTGTCCGTAAGTCGTCGAATTTGTTCAACCGTTCGTGTTTCAAGGATTCGCAAGGCAATGGGACCAGAGTGGTGCACGAGCTGCTCATGACCAGGCGCCGGCTCCATAGGGGTGGGAAGAACTCCTCCCGGAGTCCACATGCGCGAAAAGGCAGGCATGCACAGGCAACCGGATCGGTTCGGAAGGGCTTCCTTGAACAGGTTGAAGATGATATACCGGGGAATATCTGGTAAGAGGAGACGCATGGAGCCCTCTCTACGAGTCCGGGAACCCTTGCGACTCCCGTCTAAATTTAACAGGATCGCATTTTTTAATTTTGCGCCCGAAGAGCAGAATCGGGGAACGTGTTCCCGTCCAGCAGGCACAATCTTTGTCACTCCACATCCTCAAACACTTGTCGAAAATCACGTTGCAGTTTGATGTTCGAGCTCCGCTCGCACCCCCCTCTCACCCGGAAACGACTAAACTGGCTACATGTACACCTACCTGCGGTCGAACCAAAAGACAGGTCGGCATGTACCTAACATTAGTGGCCACAGCATGTTTTCTCTCACACACAAAGTAACTCCAGAAGTTCTTCCTCCAGTCGTCTTTTTCCGCTCCGCGATCTTCTCCCTCGACACGACTAGCCCACAGGAGAGGGTTAGATGGCAAGAAATGAACGAATGCCAACCGCTATGTGAGATATACTGAAAGGCGGTCCTGAAGGGCTAATCGCGGACTGACTTTCTATTCCTCTTATATTCTTTCATACTGTTGGGGCAAACGCGAATAGACTTCATAGCCCGAACGAAACGCATCTGATCCGGTCGCCCACCCGCAGAGTCGAGGCGTGAAGCGGTCAACTCGTCCATGTTTCCTCCCGCATCACAGAAGCAGAGACGAGAGGTAATCGTCCATTTCATCTTCCGCCGTCCGGTCCCTCTCCAACTCCCCCGCCCACGCTTTCCTGGACGCGTCGTCACCAGCCATGGCACCGCCACCCTCCTCCGCGGCCAATCTACCACTGTCACCGCCGCCCCCACCAGCAGCTGTTCTTTCCGACGAATCCAGTCTGTCCCCCCATCTCGACGGCCTGTTGCGCTTTTTGGCGTCAGTTTGTGTGCCCCCCGCCGCTGCCACCGCCTGGCGAATCAAGTCGTGCCCCTCTCCAGCAGAAGTTTCTCGCAATTTTCTTCCGTGCCTGTCGTCGGCGTTGCCATCTGGAGTGGCTGACACCGATCCTGACGGTGACGATGTTGACAATTTTCCTCTCTTTCGTCGTCGTTCCCCGTCGCTGTCGGCCTCACTTTCTTGCTCTTTTATTTGTGCTTCCGCCTTGCGTTGCCGCCTCAACGCCTCGATCTTTTTTCGGAACAATTTCCGCGCGCACTGCGGGCACACGCGTACCTGGGACACACGCGCGGTGTTGGTGTGAGCGTGTACACGCTTGGAAATAAGTCTACCGCGGTCGAAGGGCTTGCAAATCGAAAAATTTGAAGAAGATCGACCCCTATCATATCTTTCACACCAAGTCACGAGATGAGAGAAAAAGGCTACTCGTAGTTGATTCGCTTCGCCGCAGAATCTCGTCGTCGCCAGTGGTCTGCCTTGGCCACTACAAAGACACACATCGTCGCCAAACGCGTTGGGAAAACGTAAGTTGCCAGTACACCGACGACAACCATCGTGTATTTCGTGGTTCAATCCTTCACGCTCAGTTTCATCACCTTGACGAGCTCATTCTTGACCGCACCGGCCTCCTTGTACTTGAAATTCAGCTCGTAGCTGTGGAGATCCTTCCTCTCCTGGCACCTCAAAGCTCCGCATTCGAACTGTCCCTGGGTGGGTGGAAAAAGAAAAAGACAAAATTGAAGTGTTAGGAATGCTCGGCACTCGAATTTACGCAACACAAACAGCGCCATTTGATGGGGCGGTAGACATACATATGTGCTGCTTGTTTACACGCTATGCCAACCAATTTAGAGTTGGACCCTTACATGTACCCCATCCTTCATTTCCGCAAATGACAATAGCAGTCGCGCCGTTCGCAAAAATAACTGTCGAGGACGACCTTACCATTTCTGTGGATAAACGTCCATCGGTGCGCTTCCCTATGCCAGCCTCATACCACAATAGCGCCAAAGGGCGTCGTGCAATTCCACCAAGCAGTAGTACAAGTTGTTTAGGCTTCTACGGTATATTGTCTTACGGTAACGGACTTACTGTAACGGACTACCCTCACCTTCCCGCTGACGACATCTTTCTCTGTTCTCCACCGCAGCCCCACTTTGTCTTCTCGATACCTGGTGTAAGGGCAGGCATGAAATGTAACACAACACGATGCTGAGTGGAAATGCAGGAGCAAAAAACGAAGAACAAACAAATTGGATTGCGTTGCAAGGTCCGAGGACACAGCTCTAAACACTCTTAAGCATGCGGGGAAACTCCTGTTGAACCGCCTCTCCCAGACATGAACATTAAGACAGAGAGAGTTCTCCCTGAGATGTAGAGCTAAAGGGTCACAGTACTACCGGTGTAGTGCTTCCATCGCTGCCAAAAGAGCGGGCTACTTCGAAGATCGGAAAAAACAAAATAAACATGTCACACGGTACACCTGTCAGAGAGCAAAGCTGGTTCGGGCATCTGGCAAAACGTTCCGCGTGGGACGGCCCTCTCAAATACACCACATTTCCAGGCCGATTGTACCGAGAGTAGCAGCAAGCGACGTTGGGTACCTCGAGAGGTCTGCCAGCGCATACTCCTTGAAGAGGAGTTTGTAGTACTTCGCTGCCATGCGCACTTCCCAAGCCGTAGGATCCGCCTCTGCCCCCTCCAGTCCCCTTGCCTGCAGCGACGTTTTGACAACGACCCCGACAGTGCCGCGGGTACACAATAGAACCGGGCAGGACTAAACAAGGTTAGAACGCCAGCAAGGACAAAGGCGACAGCACGTAGAGCTAGCGCCTCCTTATAAACACATCGTGTCAACATTATAAAAGATTTCTCAATCGAGAGAATAAAAATTCGGTACAATAGACGTGCTGACTGATCGTGAGAGTTCCGATCCGTCCCAAGTCCATCGACTATGGAACAAAGGGACTAAAACGGACCATCGAGGATGTTACGCGAGAACGAAGGGAAAGGTTGACAACCATTGCCCCAGGAAGGACGCAGCATCAAAACTGGGCCAACCTCCAACAGATGAAAAGGCATGTCATGACCTTGTCCTGCCAACGCACTGAAAAGCGACCATCTCGCAACTTCTGCGTACCAGCATACAAGGATATAAAAAGAAGAGAGGTCTACGCAAGGCACCGTCCGTAAGTGGAGAGACGTAGCCCCTTCCCTGTCCTGCTACCTTATTAACCCTACCACGCCAAGCCATACCCGCGTACAGAGGGTAGCACCTTTAGAAACTCATCCTTTGACGTGATTGAGGACGTACCGAAACGTGCCGAGCATCAATCACGTCAAATTGTTGTCGAGAGTAAGCTGGTACTTTGAACATGAGAATAAACAATGTAGCCTGAGAACATTTCTGCTGAAGCACTAAATAGAGCCCACCGTGGAGATCTGTGTAATCGATAAAGATACAATAAAGATATAGACCATCAAATCACCTGTTGAAGAAGGACGCAGGAAAAGAAAAAACGACGAAGGTTCAAACAAGATATCACCCGAGAAATGGCCATAAAACGAAGAATTGACCCCGATCATGCTCTGTTTTGCTTTCTCCCCCAATCCGATGTCAGTATTTTCCATCTTGCCTGCTGTGCCCGGCTGTCCTCGTTGTGATCGCGCACGAAGCGGTGTTGCCGCCGCAAGGCCTCTTCGTCAGTCAAACGCCTTTGCCCTGGCAACCCCTTGGCCTCTATCGCTCCTGATGATGGCACCTCCGCGTTGAGGTGGTACCTGCCTCAAACCAAACCGAGGGGG